TTTTTTTTTTTTTTTTTTTTTTTGGTATAAAGAAATATATTGCTACTGCTGAAACACTGTCATAATCCCCTGCAGTGCAAGAATGGTGTTCAATTGTGAGGGTTTTGCATGTGCTCTTTTAAAACTCACAAATAGTAATGACTCCACTTGGAACAGCTTGGACAAATTGCATGTTGCGAGTCTCAGCAATCAGTTCAACATTTTGTATCCGATTACTGCCAAGGGTTTGTGCGCTCCTTTGTTTTGTGATTAAAAACAAAAACAGTGCAACAGAAACGAAACCAGTGCAACAAAAGGATTAATAGCCTTCAATAAATGAAAATGAGATCATCCACCAGAAAAAGCAACATGGCACATTGGCTAATTTGGTCTTATTGGCCAACAGGGCTTCAGCTAGTACAAGTGGCTCATGCTTAGTGATATAGACACACAGAAAAGTGAGGTTGGAAGAGACCTTTGGAGGTCCTCTAGTCCAGCTCCCTGCCCGAGGAGAATCAGCCCTATACAAGCCATCCCATCACTAAAACTACACAATCAGCCATCACACAACTCCAAGATACAGCACCATAACCTGCCACAGGTAAAGCAGGGGAACAGCAGCGGACAATGGCAGGCACAGCCTTGCTTTTCTTCCTCTCTGGCCTGTCAAAGACCTTTTCAGACACAAGACACTCAATTTTACTCCCTGCCAAATGTTTAATTATAAATAGGCAAAAAAATTTTGTTGATTTCTTGCACAATGACTTCCTCTGCACAGCCCATCCAGATGAGCACTTAGTTTTACTGCCCATCTGTAACTCGGCAACATACTACCAGAGTCAGATTATGTTATATGGGTTTGTCGACAGTCTCGGGGACCTGTGAAACCCTTCACGTACAGAGAAATCCGGGAGGGGTGGCGTGGCAAATGCTGTGTGCCAGGCTTTCATGCTGGCACACACTGCAGATGCAGCTGTATTATGCCAATGTGCAAATGGTAATGGCAATGGTATAGGCAACGGTATGCACATGTACTGAAAAGCAAGCGGCTGATCGTAAGAGAAGTCCGCCACACCACTGCAGGAGGAGCAGCGTGGCCTTGGTTTGCTGAAATCAAATCCGTCGGTTTGACACGCAGAATAGCCACACTAAAAGAATAATACGGCTGCAAAGTCAAGCACCTGAAAGTTAGACAATGCCCGAATGAAGATTGCCTGAGCCACCTAGCTTTATTCTTCCTGTGTACATGCATTATGATGTTCTCGTTACCTATATATACTGGGGGGGGAGTCCCCAAAGGGACCCTGCTTCATCCAATGTGTAAGATAGATGGTGCTCACCTGATAGAAACCTATTCCATTTGGTCCTCAGTGGGTGGCCCCATGCTTTGTTCATCAGGCACTATTCAAGCCTTGTGCTTAGTTCATGTCTGCATTTGCTTGTCTACAGCTGTCCTTCACCATAGTTTGATTGCTTCACTAACAGCAATTAATTTTTCCTTGCAACACAGGTTACAGTCTCATCCCCGTTTCACAAATGCAAACTGAAACGGGGATGAGGCAGAGCGGCTAGAGACAGATGGGGGGCACCTAATAGAGACTCAGAGCTTCCTTTTCAGACTATATAATATTACATAGTGCTCTCTAGGCATCCAGAAAATGAGGGGCGTGCAAGCAGCAGCTACTTAGGAAACCCCACCCAGCAGCATGCAGGCACGCTGGTGCAGAGACACAGCTTCATACTGCCTTCACTATATGGGGACCCTGCCTCATTCAATCCCTGTCTCCCAACTTCCCCAGGGAACAAAGCAGGGATCTTGGAGACCACAGCCTCTGTCTAAGCAGAGCCCCAATTCAGCCCCCCAGAGCAGCTCCTGGCCGACTCTTCCCATCCATTAGCCTGCAGTTCTCATCTCCTCTGCCTTTGACTCAGGCAGCTTCCTCCTCCCCACCTGCTGAGCATCGCCAAGCAGCGTGCCGCACAGGAAGGCAGTCTATCCTAATGGTTAGGGCTGCATCACAAACCCGGAGAGCAAAGCCGTAGGCAGCGGGAAAGAAAGCCGAGTGTCCGGAGCCAGAAAGCGCAGTCAGACGAGGAGCGAGAAGCCAGGAGGTCCAAGGTGGGGGTGGAGAGCCAGAGGCAAAAGGCTTGTGAAGGGACAAGCAGCCGGCAGTCCTAAGGCAAGTCCAGCTGCATTCAGCCAGTGTGGCAACTGGGCACAGCTAGACCCGATTAGGACTGATGCAGCTCTCACGCATCTCCCACTCCCTGCAAGCCTTGAAGAGCAGGTCACAAATGCAACTGGTCAGAGGTCTCTAACAAGGCCAAATTTGGGCAGATTTTCACAAAGCTGAGACGTGACACATCCCTATCACAAAAGCCACCCTCTAAGCCAAGTTTCAGGCCCCCGCTCCACCATGCAGGGGCACTAGGTGTTTTGGAAGCAAAGGTCCCCAGGCTCCCTTATCGTGGGTAACAGGCATTCACTCTCTGAAATAGCCTAACTAGTTTGACCAAAACTTTCTGGAACCGTTCAGCCCGAGGCAGACACCCAGCATGGACAGGCCCAGCCCAAAGGACTGGAGTCTCTCAAGCAGCATTAGTAATCAGTGGTGCCACTGGCCCCACCAACAGCATGCAAACCTTAATCCCAGTCTTTACTTTAGGCCATGCTGTCACCTCCTCCAAAGCTGCAGAAGGCTCCAGGTTCAGCAGGGGTGCCGTTCTCTACATTTACGTCCTGTGCATGAGGCCAGATTCACTAGTCGCAGGTACTTCGCTGCAGCACACTCCCATCAAGCTCCTTCCAAGCAGAAGTTACTGCCCTGCTTCATGCAGCCTGTCCCAAACGCAATTTCTTCATCTTTTAATCTTGTAAGCAGAAATGCCAGTGTGAAAACGCTGCGTTACAAAGACCTACAGCTAACCCCAACTCTTTTATGGAGCAAGTTATTTATTCCCTGCTGTGAGCCTTCCTGCTTTTACTGGCCATGTCTTTTATTGGCAAGCACCTTTTGAGCTGACGTCCCTTTCTGAATCTCATCAGAAAATGTTTCCAAGTATATTTCTAGTCCATTTGTGCAGCATGGAATTCAAAAGGCTGAACCTTTTTTTTTTTTTTCCTTTAAGTGTTTTAACTTGGGAATTTAACCTTTTTTCATTTGCAGACCCCTACAAAATTTTGCATGGAGGCGCGGACCCCTTTGAATCGTAAGTGCAGGTATTCACATAGTTTTGATTGATCACACTCATCTTTGGCTGACCTCTTAGACATCACGGGGTCCACGGACCACAGTTTGAAAACCACCATTTTAACTGCATCCAAGTAGCTTTGCCACATTTCTCTGTCACTTCCAGCAACTCAGGATGGACCTCTCGAGCCCCACCGAGGGGGCCAAAGGTGTCCAATTGCAGTGATAACTGATAACTAAACCTGCCAGATTTGAGGGCGTTTAAGAATCTGGATCCAAATGTAATTTTATCAGGCACGAGGCCATTTCTAGCCAGCATCAAAACAATTGGGATTAAGGAAAGGGAAGAAAAGTGAAGATAACACTCATGGGCAAAGGGGCAGGTAAGCAGAGAAACAGCAGCTAACAGAGAATGCGAGAGACTTAGAGAGATCGCTGGCCTTTCGGAGACAACAAATGCAACTACAGGCTTCGAAGGAGAGCTGCAAAACTAACTGGGAAGAAAATAGGCATGCAAGGGTGTCTCAGGCAGCAGAGAAAGAAAGAGCACGAAAAAGAAAAAAAAAAAAAATACAACAGTCCTGGAAAGTAAGATAGGCAGAGAGTCTCGCAAATCTCTCCGGCACAAAGAAGATATTTTCACCTATGCGCATGGAGCCACCACAATAAAGTGCTGACTGACAGACTGAAGCTGTGCAATTTAAAACAGAACATGCAGAATAAACCTCATTGTTAGCCCCCCCCAAGGCAAAGCATTATGAAAGGCATTGCAAACAACAGTCGGCCTCTCTGTCTCCGCATGGGATCCTTCCGCCTCATCATGTGCTTGCTTCAAACTGCTTTTCTGATCATTCCTCTCCCTTTGAAATGGCTGATTCATATGTAATAATCAAGCTTTTGTGTTTAATGTTTCTGATTCCACTTAGTCACTCTCTTCCCTCCCCCCCACCCCTCATTGTAGGTTCATTTTAGTGACACCTTCGTTTTTGGTTTCCCCTCAGAGAGGCTTCATTTCTCCCTCTAATTGAATTGTTGTCATGGAAATCATCCTTCCTCTCGCTCTTTTTGAAAGGCTTTAAAACACCGGCCCCCTGCGCTGTCACTTTTCTCGGTGACAGCAAATCAGTCCCGCTACATCTCTTCCCTGAACGTGGAAGCAGCAGACTACAGTTATTTCTGCAGAGTCAACAACGGTACAGCACCACGAGGTTGGCAGCAAGGGCCGTGCCACTGGATCCCAAACCCAAGGTCACAGCCCCGCTGTGCCTGCATTTGCAAGTATAGCCATGAGCCTCCCTGGAACAACATATAACACTGGGGCTTGCAAGCAAAGCAAGATCTCAAGTATCGCCCAGGCAAAAACCCCGGGCACTGCCGACGTGGGCAAGCTTCTGCATTTCTACAGCCGAGGTTTCTGATCTGAATAGGGGTCAGACGTTACACTACAGTAACGTCCTTAAATCAATTAATATCTCATTACTCCAATAATCTGGTGGTATCTTTCCAGTTCATGAGTCACTAACCACCAAATATCAGGCGTGTTCGTAGTGACTTGTTTTTATGCGAGATATAAAGTAATTTGGCGGTCAACAAAGCTTTTTCATTTCTGCATACTAGAAGGATTATTGTGAAGAATCAGACTTGACAAACTGCCAGCTCAAGCATCACTGGCTCAGGAAACAGCACAGGGCCAGGGTTATTTTAACTGGCCCCAACGTGAGAAGCAGTGAGAAGTCAAACTCAAACGAAGAGCTGGGTGGAGTGCCAAAATCCAGTCGGTGCTCCCGCCTCTCCAAAATTTCACACAAGGGTTGGTTCAATCATCTGCAGACGTGGCGAGTGTTGCCAGATCCAGAACTATATTCAGTTCCAAAACAGCATTCAGATTTTTAAAGCACCAAACAATTCAGATTTCTTTGAAAAATCTGGATTCTAATCTGTTGCTTCTCTGACCTGCCCACACCTTCCAACTTTGCCGAATTTGACTGAAAAGCACAAGCAGGCTTCTGAAGAGCACTCCATTTCTTCATGCCAAACACAGTATAAGAACAGATCAGCGTTGCGGTATTAACATAATATTATACCTGTATTAATATATCTCATACTGTTCCTGTATTACACTGATGAGCTGTTCTTGTATAGTGGGTTTTGGCACAAATAAACACACCAAGTTTGAGAATGTCTCTCCCCCATGTTTAGCCCCATGGGTATAGTGTCTGAGCTCCTCTCAGTCAAACACCTATTTTGCAGTTCTGATGAAACTCTATAAGAAGCCAAAACCATATTTTCAGGTTCAATTTTAGGGGAGAAAGCATGTTTCCCTCCCCCCAAAATATAAATCAATTAAAGCTTGGAACTGCTGTTGCCCTCACAAAATTACACAAGAGAAACCAATAGTCAAGGAGAGAGCCCAAAGGGTTAAATTCACTAAGCATACTAAAAACTGCATAGACAAGATTTCGGACTTAGTACTTTTTACTGCGTGTGCAAAAATACTAAGATTCAAGACTGTAGGGGGCCAGATTACAAGCTGACCCCATGTACAAGGAATCTAATTTTTATGGTTCTTTTGGAGAGAGAAAAAAAGAGGGAGGCTTATAATCAGAATAGCACAGGGGTTATCCTCACAACGCCCCAATGAGGTAGAGCATGCCTATTACCCCATTTTGCAGAATGAAGATAGAAAAGATAACTACTATCCCTAAGATGACAAAGGAAGCCCCTGACAGAGCAGGAAACTAAATCAAGGTCTCTGAAGTCTTAGATCGCCAGTCTAACCACAAGGCCCCCCATGTCCTTCTTGGTCCTGCCATCCTGCACTTCTGCTTAAAGCAACCTCCCCACAAACACGACTATGCAAAGCACAAACAAGTGAACAAAGCAAAATGAAAGACCAAACTCTTCAGAGATTGCAACCAGGCTCAGTTTAGGCTTGGAAGTTCTGCTAGGAGGAGTTGCTAGCTTTTATTATCCCTCGTATCATTTTATACAACCCTCACCGAGGCTACTAGATCAACCTAGATTATCTGTAAGTCGGCCCATTTCAGAACAAGGTGGCTGGCTTACATCATTAGGTTTTTTTCTGTTATCTACTTGCATCATTTTGTAACGACATAATTACCAAAATGGCTCTTCCCTAAATAAGCTTTTCAGCTGCACTAGTCTGGTTTTGAAGCTTCTTCTGATAACTTCTCTTTGCTCTGAGTTCACAGCCCTGCTCCCTTCTTTTATGTAACTGTACATATGGAGTTCAACACAAGACATTGTTTGAGCTATTCCTTCGCTTAGGCCAGGGATGCTCAACACAGCATCTGGCCCACGAGGCTCCCACAGGTTGGAAAACATTAACACCGCCATCGCTCCCCTGCTGCAAAATTCCCACATGCTGCATGGCCAGATCAGGCCCAGACCATTGCAACAGGGATGGATCTGGGCTGAACTGTAGCTGTGTGGCCAGACTGGCCCAGGCCGGGGCCAAGCATTGCCCTGGTGCTGGGCCCCTGGTATGTGTCTGGATCAGGTTGTAGCTGTGCCCTTCCTGCATGCTGGCTGTAGCAGTCCCCTGCCACGTGGCTGGGTTTGGCTGTGCCCACATTGCATGCTGGACTGGCCGCCAGCCACACCTGACCTTCATGCTGGATTAGCCTCCTACCACATGCACCATGCATGCCAGATTGGGCCCACCAGCCAGATCTGGCCTGCAGAGGGATGTGGCGCCACCCATTCAGTCCGCAGACAAAAAGGTTGGGACCCACTGGCTTAGACTAAACTAGCTTCTTCCCCAGACCTGAAGAAGAGTGCTTTGTGCCCCAGAGCTCACCTAAAGTCTCTTCCAACTATACAGTTGGTCCAATAAAAGATGTCAAAGAACCCAAGGACAAGATGTTAATGCCTCATCATTCAAGTGCACATCAGGCAGGAGAGAGTGCACCAGAAAGCTATTCTCACCTCCCTCTCACCAGAAATGTCACTGCCTTCTACAGACCACTCGCCTAAGTAAAGATGAGCACAGTTTGGACCTTATTTTCCAGTATTTCTGAAAGCATAAACCACCAGAAATTCAAGCCTATATTACCTCCCCCACTCAAGCTCCTTAACCCTGCAAGTCTCCAAATTAAACGAACATGCCCAAAACTCCTCAACACAAAAGCATCTCTGATGCATGTAAGGTACCAGCTCCCGAAAGAGCCATTCAGAATTTAAAAATAAAAAGGTAATTTTGAGGACAAAAACCATTTTCAGCCTTTCCTTTAAAAAGACAGGCCTGCATGGAGAACGGGAGTAAAATATTCTAAATCCCAGCTAGCGAGACACGGGTAGGCACTCTGCCACGACTAACACCCCAAGTACTCTCAAGATGCAAAACAAGAAATCTGCTCCCTGATCGTTCAATCAAAGATTGCCATAAAATTACTAACTAGGCAAGCGCTTACAGCTCATCTATCATTTCATCTGATTTTTTTACTTCAATTAGTTCTTCTAATCACCTGCAAAGAGCAAGTTAGCCAAATGCAAAGATGTCACTGGAGTTGAACAGAGAAAGTAGCATTTCATCTAGTGAGTTCATATCTAACAGCAGCAAGGCCCAGGTAACTCTGAAAGAGTTCAGCTCTGTGTTGGCTACAGATTAGTCCTTGTTATTAGTCCTTGTTACAATAAATAAGGGTCGAAAATTAAGCAGGATCAAGCTAGGTCAGAACTCAAAACAGAGACAAATATGCAGAAGCTACAAAGAATGATTCTGTTGCCAATTCTTTCCACCGAGTAAGCACTCAACCAATGCCCCACTGGAGATGAAGCCCTTTAATCAAGATGTAGAAGGTCCCATCCTCTTTTTAGTTTATGAACATGCCCCATCATCCTTAAAAGAGGAATGCTAATTCTGCATATAATCAGACCATCTTAATTCATAGGATCATAGAAAATGAGGGTGGGAAGGGACCTCAGTCCAACTCCCTGCTCAAAGCAGGACCAGCCCCAACTAGATCATCCCAGCCAAGACTATGTCTAGCCAGGTATTAAAAACCTCCAAGGATGGAGCTTCCGCCACTTCTTTGGGTAACTTGTTCCAGTGTTTTACTACCCTTCTCCTGAGAAAGTTTTTAACATAATATCTAACCCGGGGTTGACAACATTTTAGGGCAGAGTGCCAAAAGCAATCGCAACCTCAACTTGTAAGATGTTGGGGTGCCACAGGTGGACGGTGGAGAAGCAACGATGGGCCCAGTCCTTTTTAGAGCGCAGCTCTAGCCCCTTCCCAACCATGCACCCTGAAGTGCACATGCCAAGGAAAATGCCTTCGAGTGCCGCGCTCTGGCACCCGCGTCGAGAGTTGCTTACCCCTGGATCTAACCCAGGGGTGGGCAAAATGTGGCCCGTGAGCCGGATGTGGCCCGCCAGACCAATCTATCCGGCCCAGGGACCCCTAAAAAAATTTAGAAAATTATATATCTGCCCCTGGCTGCCTGTCACATGGCCCTTCATCAATGGCTTGCCAAAACTCAGTAAGCAACCCTCTGCCCAAAATAATTGCCTGCCCCAATCTAACCTAAACCTCTCTTGCTGCAACTTGAGCAGTTTCCCTGCTTGAATTCCTTGCAATTTTAATTGGCACAAAGCACACTTCTCTCCTGGACCAGGTGCAGCCATTACACTTTTTCTGGTATAGGTGGTCAGAAACCAGTCAATACCCATAACAAAACAGAAGTTTGGGGCACACAGACTGCTATAAAAATAGTGGATCCCAGTCTAAGATAGACCTGGATCAATGTAGTATCAAACATATTTGATCTGGGTTGAACGTTGGTGCCAGGTCTTCTTGTGAATCAAGGTAGGGCGCTACCTGCCGGTGTCCCAGTTGCCTGTGCAGGGCCCCCACTGACTCCCCCTTGCCTCCCGTGGTGGTGGGAGGGGAATGCAAATCCAGCAAACCCTTCTCGGAGTTGCTCCAGCAGGGGAGGGATGCTCTGTGCCCTGCTGAGCCAGCTGGGAATACAGGGTGTGCCACAGATACC